CTCTGCACTTGGCCTTATTAAAGCTCATGCATGTTACTGCAGTGGACAAGAAGTCCACCAAATAAATAAGCTAAATTAGCAATTTTAATAAATTTTGGTCTGCAAGGAAGATGCCTTATGATTCAGTGCATGCTTCATGCAAAAAATTTCATCCTTACATACCTAAAAGTCTAAGTAACAGGCCTGATTTCCAGAAAAATACAAACATTCACTACCTGTGAAAGCCAGGTAATTTTTATTCAAATTTCTATCTGTAAGCACTGCTATCTGCAACGCACAGCAGATCTACATGAAGTAAACTGTAATGGTAATTTCACTTCAAAATTGTACCCATTTTTCCAAACAGTCCTGCCACAGCACATTGTCTCTGCACAGTATTTGCTTAAAAATAATCAAAGATCCATAACTAAAAGGAAAATAAATATAACTCCTGCACGTACACAATACGTTTGCCACTGCTTACCAAAAGGTTCTCTGGTTTGAGGTCCCTGTGGAGAATGGTCTTGCTGTGAATGTAAACCAGTGCTTCACACAGGTCAGTGATGATGACAGCAGCATCATGCTCCATGAACTTCACACTTTCTGTGATTGCATCAAATAAGTCCCCCGAGACATACTCTGGGATTAGGCAGGTCTCAGCTTCTCTCTCATACACTTCAGTTAAGCTTACTATGTGATGAGAGAGACTCCTAATGATCAGAATTTCACTTTACGTCATGGCCTCTTCATCCTTCAGCTTGGATTTATCAGCAAGTTTCATGCTATAGATCTGATTGGAGTCACAGTGGCGTCATTCCTTCACCACTGCAAAGTTCCCATCCCCAATAGTTCTGCCAATCTCATAGTCTTTTTCCACATCACTTCTGTTTTTAATGGCATGCCTCCAGCTTGTGTTTTCCAATCCCTGAGCCTTGTTTTCTTCTTTATTCACTCTGCACTCCCCTGTTTTTTCTCTTCGTGTCATGTCACTCTCTCTGCATGTCATATTCCCCTCTCTTCTGGCACCCTCCTCTTTAGCCCTTTGCCCCTCTCTGCCCTACCTATGTGGTTTAGGTGGTTTTTCAGCATCCCTCAGAGTGTCTTTCTGTAGCCAACCACTTTGATTCATTATGCAGCCACTTGCATTCCCTTCATGAGTTAACTGATGTGCTAATGCTACTTAGGAACATTTCTTCCTTTTCCCTTTGGAATGACCTTGCACAAACTGGCAAGCGTTAAAAAATATGCTGTGGTAAGATGTCCTGGGTATCCTCATAGTCTTAACACAACTTCTGCTCTATCCAAAGTATTATGGTTGCAAAGAGTGCTGTGCTAATTTTATACACAGTTGTATTTTCAGGAGTATATCTAAAATCATTGCCAAAAGATGCCACCTCCTTTTGGGTTAATTTTCACAGATGAATTGTGAGGGCAATTGGCCTTGGAGAAATGGGCCTTTACTGACTGGTGCCCAATTGGTAGTAGAAGACTGTGAAACAGAGGAATTGTTATTCCTTACAAAAGATACACCAACATTTTTTTTACAGGGAAAATGCAGCTGTAGCTGTTTACTTATTTCTTTTTCTTCTAAGAGTGAACCTGTAATTGAAGCACTACCTTGCAATAACTGTTGTTAAAGTCCGGGAAACACATGCTTTTGCATAGATAAAGGGAGGAAAAGTCTCAGAGAGGAAACATCTCCACTTTTGGTACTTCAAATTCCTCCTGAGGAGAATAAATTTCTGTTCTGAATAAATACATTGTAACCTTTTTTTAAGATTCTAGAGTCACATAAGTTCAATAATATAAACATTCTCTGCAGATTGTAATAATTGTAATGATACCAAAGATGATGACATTTTGGTGAGGATTGCTTCATTAGAAAACTCAATTCAAACTTTTTTAGCAAACCTTCCTTTTGAAACACAATACGATCATTTTTTGATTATGAGATACGGGATTAATCTTTTATCAAATCCAACCTGGTATTGCAATTCCTATGTTTTTAAAGGATTCAGTGGAGGTTACAGTGTGGGCAGGAGTCTGTTTTTTATTTTGAGCAACAGTGCTGGTCCTTTTTATGACCTCAGTCCTTTGACTTCTCAGTTTTTGCTGGCCTTATATATTTGAATAATAAACCTTCTGAATCTTCTGTGATTTTCTACTGTGCCTATCTTAGTGGTGTCTCCATTGGATTAGTTGGAGGCTTCTGGGTATTCATATACCTAACAATAGCAGTCCTACAAGAGTAACATCCAGAACTTGTATTCCAGTTTGGCTGAGTCTTTTATTTTAGTTAGTTCTGCAGTTGAATGGTCTGTAAGGCTGTTTAGGAAAAGAGAGATGTGGAAGTATCAATGACACTATTAGTTGGGATAAAGACGGGAGGAGGTAAATGCTTCTCAACAATCTTTTTCTTGAAATATTTTGTCCCTTTGGAAGACTCAGACCCTTTCCCAGATGTTAGTTTTCTCCATCCATCCTTGCTTTCACTATGTGCAGTTCAGACTTACAGACCAGAAAAGAACATTTACTACAAATGGCCAACTTTACTAATGTTTATGCTTTTTTATATTTCCTATGAGGATCAAATGCACAATTCTAATGCTTGATTTAGATAACAAAACTGAAGATCTTATTTACATTCTGCATAGGCCCATCCCTAAGTGTCTTGCCTTTTCTTCTGGAAGAAGCATAAGAACAAGTGTTAGGATCCAAAAGGCAATTTGGCAAGCTGCCACCTTAGAGGTTTTATCCCTTATCATCTAGATATATCTGCAGAAGTACAATTAATTGCCCTGTTGTTTCTGCCCCAGAAAACTTGCCTGGTGGTGATATAATTCAGTGGATGTTTCTTTGACAACTAGGCTGCACAGCTTCTGCTGATGGAACTGTTCCAGCTTTTCCCACTCAGTGCGGCTGCAGGTTCTTTTCCCAAACTGTGCTTTCCAGTTAGGCATGCAGTGGAAGTAGGTCCATTCACTTCAGGGTGTGATGGATCAGACCGTAACAAATAACCAAGAGGCTACAGCAACAGATATATGCATTTGCTGGAAAATTTTGATGTAGAAGTTTGATTTCTGACATTGCTATTGAGCCTCACTCTTCTCTCCTTTCAGGTGCATTACGGAGATTCTTTGATGTAGATTACTCGTCTATAAGGTAGTGGTGTGACATCTGTCAATCTACTGTGCTACTTTTTAGGAGATGTATATTTATAGAGTGTTTTGAAGATGAAGAAAACTAATTAGACTGACTTAATAGTTCTTTTTCTTGAAAGCTAAGGAACTCAGTTTTTTTAAAATAAATGTCTTCAAAATTATTAAATAATAGTTTTTGCAGCAGTATGGACATTTCTTTGTGAAAATTTGACATAAAATGTAAACTACAAGCTGCATCAAGCAGCCTAAACCGGTCCTTATAAATAAATACGTTTAATAAAGTATTATTCTCTTCCTATTCTGCCTAAAAGTTAAAATTTAATGATCTCAAAACTAACTGTCCATTTCAGCTTAGAAGTGGTATCAACATGTATCATTTTTATTAAACCCTTTCTCTTAAAAGGGAATTGAAGGCAAACATATTGGGAGTGTAAGCCATGGGAAAATGGATTACTTTATTTGTACAAAATTTTTGGAAGATGTTAAGGGTTTTGATAAATACCGTTCACTTGATGAAATCAGTTACAATGCAGTGGCAAAGAAAAATCCACGGAAAAATTATCTTATTTACTTTTCATATTGAATTTTCACTCATATGTGCCTAACGGAAGAATGGTGTTACAGCCATTAGCCTGCAGTGTTTTCTGCAGTGATATGTTAAATTCAATGCAGGAACGAAGTTGTTACAACCTCCAGAGGAAAGTTTCATCTTTTCAGTTTTGGATAGGCTGTAAATGTTGTCTGAGTGCTCACAATTGTGGCACACTGTAGGCACGTCGGTGGAAGGAGCTGCTCAACCTACAACAGCATTCAGAAATGGCAGTTTGTAAAGTAGTGCAATGAAGGAATTATAGAGACCTTATGGAATTAGAAAATTGGCTATTCCATCTTGAATACAGAGTTAGAAATCTAATATTCAAAGGGATATGGCAGAAGTTGAAGAGTTTCAATAAAAAGGCAGTGAGATGACAACAGACATTAATATCTTGCCCTTACTTTTTTTTTCCCAAAGAGCTGACTAAGAGATGTAAGAGAAGAAAAGCACTCTACAATAGAAAGATTGTTGTCATTCAAAACAATATTTTGATAATGAGTGGGTTTATTTTCTAAAACATTGCACAATTGATATTTATAATGTTTTGCTTTTTTGCTTGAATATTCTCTTCTTGTATACAGAGGAAAGAACTGTGATAAAATGAAGCATCTAGAGGACTCACATAAACATTTAATGTTTCTGTGAGAATATTTTTCAGTTATACAATAGTGAGTAGAATGCAGTTGTGAGAGATATCAGTTTTCATCTTTTGGTATAAACTGGGTCAGCATCATCTATGACAATTATTATTATTGTAAAATGTTTATTTTAGGTAACAGAGTTGGTCCTGCTGATTACTTGTAAACAGAAGATATAATGCCTCCTAACTTCTTAAAACTAATTCAGTCACATCCTCTTTTTTTTTCCCCCCACAAATACTGTGTTACTAGATAAGTGATAGTTCTGTGCAGATGTGCTTTGTAATGGGGTAAGAATGCCGAATATGGTATTAATCAAACTTTTAACTGGGTCAAATACTCAGCTGAATATAAACTGGCTGAGGTCCACTGAAGACCTGCCAATACACAGATTTGGCCCAGAACATTTGATGAAGCTAAAGTAATGCTGAATGCATTCTTCAAATGGTGCCCTTCCCCAGGATTGCATATTAGGCGGAATTCATCAGACACCAGAACAGATTAACTGCTTATAATAATAGCAAAGTACAAACAAACAACACCCCCCAACCAAGTCACGTGTTTTCCTGTTACATTCCCTTTCAACGCCAATCTCCTCTACTGCCCTAACAATCTTGCAGCCGATTAGGTTGGCCATGCAAACAAAAGTTCATTACAATGATTTCTTTAAAAGAGCAATGTTTTTGCAAGAATAAACGTGCCCCAGATGCTGTATGTATAGTGGCACTAGGACTCTCCACCTCCTTCCAAGGTCACTTGAAAGCAGCTGTGAGAACATGGACTCTGGTGTGTAAGTACTTCATTAAAAATGAGTGCAGCGCAGGGAGAGTGGAGACCAGCGGAAAACTAGGGTTCTCAGGCATTACTACAGGAAAGCCAAGGAAAGGTATTTTAATTAAAGCTGCTCAGCTTTGCCTTTGCTTGAAAACTTTTAAAATGGATTCCCACCACTGCCTTTCTTTTCCTGGTTGCAAGGTAACCACTTCATCTTTCTGAAAGGGCTATTCTGACAATTTGTCACAGTGATTCATTCCTTCTCCCTCTTACATCTTATTTGCACAAAGAAAGGGCTGAACAGTATATATCAGCACAGATGTGGCATCATGGGATGTTTATGTCAACTTTGTAATTAAAGAAGAATGGTAAATGTGGCATGTCAGTGTAATAAATTAATTAGAATTGCTAAAGGAAAAAAAAGTCTGACTTTCATTGTTTCTTCCACAGTGACCTGGGAAAGATAAAATTTGTTCTTATCTGTATATTGAAACACTTTTTTTTTTTAACAGAGTCTGTATGAACATCAATTCTAGGGATATATATCAAACACAGGACAACAATAAAGCCAACACAGAGTTTCTGAAATCAGTGTTCAAGCTGCAAAGTAAATATCAAGAAAGAGGTGAAGTAACTCATGGAGAGTTGACCTTCTCTAAGTTTATATACCCCCATAATCGATGTGCGCTGAAAGCTGAAATGGTGTGATAGCAAGAGTGAATCTCCTTCCTGTTCAGTCTTGTTACCCCGTAAACAGAATGGCATTATTTCTCTATTGCGATGGAGAATACTGGTCTATTCTTAATGCACATGCCTTCAGCCCAGTCCCACCTGCCTACCCTTCCTCACCTCAGGTGACTGTGGCAGAGCAGGTACCTACTTACTGATAACCAAAATCTTGTGCATCTGCTTGTCTCTACCAGCTAGACAAGAGAACCCCATCAAAACCAAATCAAAAAACCATTTCATTATGGGCACCCTTTTTCCACTTTGTAAAAGGCTAAAATAAACTTTTCTCCACCTACCCCTTGACGAAGTGTGAGCAAACTGGGCTTTTGTCTCTCTGTCAGCCATGTTTTTCCTTCAGAGAAGGAAAACAACTGTGGGGATGGGGTGCCCATGACTCCTGGCCTGAGATGATCCCACCACTGCTGGATATGCAGCGGAAAACCAACAATTTCTGGATGGCGCCATCCGTGCTCTGTCATCATGTTTGCCATTCCATTGCGTTATTAACATAGTACGAATCATAATTTCATCTTGGAGGATGCTTACGATATTATACTGTTTTATTTAAGTTTTATTATTAGTTACCTAAATCCAAGGAAAATCCAGAAGGATGTGGACACCTGTGGTATTGGGTCAAAGAAGTGCCTTTGTTTTCCCCATCTATCTAAATGCACCCCTCATGCCTGACTGAAGCCTGATGCTCCACTGAAAGATGGGAGAAATCCTTTGGAGGGAATTAAGAGACATTTTCTTTCTACCATCTGAGTTTCAGCCTTTTACAGCCTATTAAAGAACTGGTGAATGTAGGCTCTTGTAACAGGCTATTCAATTGAACTTCAGTTTTCTCGTGGTGAATGCAAGAGGCAAGTCTCTGCAGGACATAAAAGCCTATTGCATTGCTCCATATTTGCCTGTGTCTTCTGTTGATTTAAACAGCTTACATACACCATAGTGCAAGGGCTACCTGCAGGCCCAGACCAAAAGGCTGCTGCCTGGCGTGGCTGGCAGCTGGACCAGGGAAGGGCCAGGAATGAGTTTCTTCTGACTGTTCATTCTCTGCCAGAAGTCTAGGTTTGGTAAGGCGCAGTGGAGGAAAACTTTGCGAAGAGACCGCTGATGCTCCCCTTTCCAGTCCAGTTCTCCTCACAGCACTCTGTCCCATGTCCCACCCCGTGGAGACCCTACCCCTACACCTCGTCTCAGGCAGCAAAGATCACCCAGCTGCAACGCGAACCGAACACTCTCTGCTACCCTATCCCAGTAAATGTATTTCTTATGCAAGTACATGGAGTGTGTTTCCTACGCCATGAAAGGCAGTGATAGGTGTCTTGTCCCAGGTTTGTGCATAGAAAAAAACTGGGCATGCAACAGCATGGAAAACAATGCCATGTTTATTATAGGACTGTGCAGAGACAGACAAACGAGGGCAGCATTGTGCCAGCTGCTATCCCTGATTAGTGAGGCTGTGCTCGTGTTCGGCCTATGGACTCACTGTAACTTGAATGAAGTAGAGGCGGCATTTTGCACTTTTCTCTGTATAGTGCAGAAAAAGACATGTGCTGTCACAGGCAGACATAACCCAGTCTGTAAGGCAGCAGGAGTAACACAATAATATGTAAAGCATTGGGTATGATGTCTGGATTTTTCTAAAAAGGCAGTTAAGCTTCTATAGAGAAAGGTGAAAGAGAAGTAAGAAGGCAGCGAGAGGTCAGGTGAGAACAGAAATCAGGTGAAATCATTTTGTGCAGGAAGAAAGATGCAAACACATTGACAGGCTGCAGCTGGGGAAGGTCAGCCCCCAACAGCATAAAAAGCCTTTAGGCATCTTCCCTCAGTTCTTGTCACTCAAATGCCTCTTAACCTGCATAAAGCCTGTATGCCAGACATGGAAGTATGCATCCCCAGGGCAGTGCACCAAAGGTAAGTGGCCATGGAAGTGTGTGATAGGGAATGGAGAAGAGGAAGGATAAGAACATGCTGAGAAACAGGGACAGGTTTGGAACATTATTTAAGATGTTTTTTCTTTTCAATGGTATCTAGAAACTTGAGCCTGTATCTATATCTTTTGGTGTCTATCTTTAAGAATATGGCTTGAAGACTTAGTTCCTTTTCTGTATGGCTCTTATCCACAGCTACTCTAAAATAATTATATCAATGCTGCTGCTAACTGATGATGCCTTTTCATAGTGTGGAGCTGGTGATCATAGAATCATGGAATGATTTGGGTTGGAAGGCACCTCAAAGATCATCTAGTTGCAACCGTCCTGTCATGGGTACGGACACCTTCCACTAGACCAGGTTGCTCAAAGTCTCATCCAACCTGGCCTTGAACACTTCCAGGGATGGGGCAGCCACAACTTCTCTGGGGAGCCTGTTGCAGTGCCTCACCACCCTCAATGTAAAAAATTCTACCCTCTTTCAGGTTAGAGCCATTGTCCCTTGTCCTATTGCTAAACACCCTTGTAAAAAGTCCCTCTCCAGCTTTCCTGTAGGCCCCCTTCAGGTACTGGGAGACTGCTATAAGATCATCCTGGAGCCTTCTCTTCTCCAGGCTGAACAACCCCAACTCTCTCAGCCTGTTCTCATAGAAGAGGTGATCTTGATGATCTTGAACCTTGTTGAACAGTCCTGCTTCTAGGAAAAACTACTTGAGAAACTAGGTTGCAGTCTACTTCACTGCGATAATCCTTGGTCTGTGTGTACAGAAGGGAACATTATGGCTGATACTTGCAGTATTCCATAAGGAGGGCTGAGGCAAGCTCTAGATCTCGTAGGAGCTCAACAGTTTTTAATGAACTTCTGGATTCAAAGCAAAGACTGCAACAACAAAGTGATTTTTTTCTTGAGGTGACATTAGGATAAGTTTTGCCATATTCCTTGTTAAGCATTTGAATAAAAATAGTTCCTGGTTGTGTTGTAAATAAATTCCCTAAAATATTTAGCACATGATGGTGGCAGTGGAGGATGTACTGGAGATGGAAACAACCTGTCTTCCATTTGATTGTTCAAAAACAAGTCTTAAATTCAGGATTATCACTCCCAGCTAGCCGGAGAGAAACAAGTGCTGTGCATGTGTGTTGTGAAAAATGTTAACTGGTCATGTGTTTTGGACACAATAATGAAAAATGTCAATAGGAGGCATTCTGTGAAGTACATACTAACTTGCAGTTGTTAAGGTGACATGTAAATATTTTAAAGACTTGTGAATTTTAAGACATAACCAGCTGTGATTCATTAAAAAGACAGGAAAAATTGCAGAAAACATACTTATTCTTCTGAAGTCCCAGAGCAGGAAGAAAAAGCCTCATGCTCAGCCCCAAGTAAAGGCTGTGCCAATACCAGCTTAGCCCCAACCATGCCAAGTACAAGGTGGAGTTTTCCAAGGCTTCATCTGTCTCTGTTTGTTCTTGTTGTTTGCATCATGTAATAAAAATTATTACTTATGTCCTGTCCTAATCTAGCTGGTCAGTGTATGTAGCACATAATATGATGATATTTGCTTTATCCTTGGAGTTCAGTTACTTCTTATCTTTCCATTGGATGTATGAAGAAGCTAGGGTAAAGCTTGTTTTTTTCCCCAATATGTGCATTCCAAAGTAGGCACCCAAAGAATAAAGTTATATTTTATAAACAAGATAACTGAACAGTAATAGAACCACATAAACATAACATGGCAAAGATAAAAAACAGGTCTGATACATGTTTCTGGATAAACATGAGACATTGAAAGTAGTCTTTCAAAAATTAGGTTCTTCAGACAAAGGATAAAACCTGATGTGAAAAACTTGTTGCAGGTGTGCTACTTACTGTTGAAGTATGAACTGTACTACTGTTAGTAGTAGTACTTATTAACAGAAAAAAACAGCTTACAGTTGATTAATTATGTATTGCAGTGTGCTTTTGTTAAGCAGATTTTCTTCTGATGCCAGTTAAGAAAACGTGTAAATCACCAAAGCCAAAACTTCCTATTTCTGTGAAAAATGCTATCAATACTGTTCATCAGGCAGGCTGTCCAAGTCTGAGTTCATTATGAAATTGTAGTTCTAGAGCTAATAAAAATAAACAATGCAATATCCTTTTAAAAAGAGAGAACTAGACATGGAAGGTAGCAAATACCAGTAAGTGTTTTAATATGAGTGGGTGGATGAAGTCATTTTTTGTCACAGAAGTAGTTCCAAACAGTGCAAGTATTTGAATACCTGACCTCTGATATTCAGCAAAATATGGTGGAAATGAAATGGCACATTTCACTGTTTAGCTGCTGTTATGTGCTGGATGGAGAACAGCAAGGAAAAAGTGGGCTGACTAGACAAGCTTTTGAAGTGGTGCAAATAACAGATTTGAAACTTTAGGACTAGACATAAAGGTCTATAAAATGTAGAAAAAATCCAAGACAGCTGTTAAAAGATATATGCAATTATTCTTCAGCCTAAGTTGCTGGTGGCTGGGGATGACAGCACCAACTAGGTACTGTGAGTCAAACAAATAAAATCTTTACAACAAAACATTAGAATGAGTGCAAGCATTTAATGTTTCTAAACAGCAGGGTTCTGAGACCGATGGAAGGCAATAGGGATCCTTTGGAGAACTTTGAACTCTCTTTAGATGTTTCAGCTGTTTTATGTATTTGTATTTTGTACAATTCAGATGTGTATTTGGCAGAACACAGATTTTAGATATTGTTGTTCCTAGTTAAGGCTTATCAGCTGGTTGATATTGGCATAGTCAAAATTGCAAATGATATACAAAGATTCTTGTATCTTACACATACTGACAAACAAAAACAAGCAGTACTCTGGTATGTGAACTCAATTTGTCTTTATTAAACAGTGCTGAAACTGCTTCAATGATACAAAAATTTCAACATTGAAAGATGTGTTTTATTTCAGTGAGTTGAGACCATAAAAATACTTAGCTACCTTTCTCCCCTCTGATGTCACTGGAAAGTTAAGTTTATAAATGTCTTTGTGGGTATGGCCTCTGGTGCCAAGGAATTTTAGCTGTGGATCAGGAACCTGTTATCCAGGCTCTGCATTCTGCAAAATAATTGTCCAACAGTATATGAGAACAACTACAAAGGAGTTGACAGGGCAAAGCAGTAAACCCAATGGAGCAAGATTGTAGACAACATAATAGGCTGTGAGATCTAGACTACTGATTCACAATTTATGTTGAAGGTTGGTGGTAGGTTATTTTTTGAGGTAGAATGGAAAAGGAAATGTTTAAGACCTGCTTTCTGTGGTTTTGTGCATCTTCTTTGCCCAGAAAAAAACGTGATGGTGCGGAGTAAGCTATAAAGGTTTCATTGGTCTCTCCAAGTGGGGATTTAAGCCCCTGTAATGGAATGAGAGATGGTGTGGGTAGTGAAGGTCAGCTTCTCTTTGATATAACAGAGAAGAAGAAAAAAATGAGATGGCCAGGTAAGAACCAAGGGCTAGGAAAGTCAATGTCTACATTAATTTAAGCTGTGTCAGCTTGTATTTGTCAAGGCTAGAAAATAGAGTGGTACAATGTAGTGGTGCAAGATGAGAGCCTTCACCAGCTTGATGGTTAGAGAAGAGCTTCTTGATGATTCTCTAAGTTTAGTAATTTTTATTAAAGTTTATTAGCAGGGTCATAGTGACAGCGTACTTCTGCAGCAACCTCTGTTGTACAGTGTGCTTAATAATCACCTAGAAAAGCAGATTAGTAGTAAGATGACTATCATAAGCTTATGCCAGTAAGCTGCTATGGGTATGTTCCTTTTAAGGGACAGCTGAGTTAGGATTCTTCATCCTGGAAAAGATGTGAGGAAGGATATGATAGATGTGCTTAAAAAAAAAAGAAATCACTAGTGGTTTGGAAAGGGACTGATTGTGTTGGATGAGGCTGTAATCAAGAATTAGGGTGTAACAGGAAGCTAGAGGGCGACAGGCTGAAAGCACACAGAAGGCAGTAATTCTTCAGGTAGCATGCAGTTAGGGCATCGAAATTCTTGCATTCACAATATCTTGTGATTAAAGGTTATGTGGGAGGCAAGATTATTATATGCCACAGAAATCCACTGACAGCTACTAAATGCACAGGAAATGCATCTAGATCCATAAATTGCAAACAGGTGAATTGGCCAAAGGAAGGGTTAAAATATGCTTTTTAAATTCTTTATTATTTTTTATTATATTT